TTGGTAAGAAGTGATATGTGTGCACCATGATAAAGAAATGTTTCCTAAACCATTGTAACCATGAATGCCACTTAAAAATGATGGCAAGACATTTTCTTTTAGACTTCCAAATGATGAGTTCCTTCTTCCCCTTAAAGAGAGAGAAATGAAAAAAAAGATGAGTATCACTTGTATATTAAGTGTAATCTAATATCATCTGTATTTGTGTTCCTTTTACCCTCGTCCTTTGTTTATAGACAGTAAGTATCCATCTAAATTCAAAATATCTTTTTTTATATGTTCTAGTCCTTTTTAAAAATCTTGTTCGTCTTTTCACTTCTACGCTTTTGTTCAGCTCATCACGTTATAATGATTGGGTGTTGTAGAAATGCTATCACTTGTCCGTAATCAATTCTGACATTGGTTTAGAAATTCTCATTTTTCATTTTTTATAAAATCACGGATTGTATGTTTATCTTATGTTTGTTCTTACTTTAATGAACTTATGTTGTAATCCTTCGGTAAGAAGTGATATTCGTGCACAATGATAAAGATATATTTCTAAACCATTGTAACCATATATGCCATTTATAATTCATGGCATTAAAATTGTTCTTTAGACTTCCAATTGATGATCTCCATATTTCCCATAAAAAAGAGAAATGAAAAAGATAAGTATCATTTTAATATAAACTGTAATCTAATATGTATCTTTATCGTTGTTTCTTTATCCTTTGGCTACGTTCTTAGTGCGTAAGTATCCATCCAAATTTAATTATCGCTTCTGTATACAGCGTGTCCACACACAAAACAATTTATCCCGAAACTCTATAACGATACGTCGTGTAAAGTATCATCGTATAAATTCCAGGATGTCCACACACAAGAAACGTCGTCACTAAAGAATCATCGTATAAAGTGCCCCCTGTCCACACACAATATTTTCCGTGATTAGGCGTGATACCGTTTCGCGATAGTTTTACGATGAAAATTGTAGGTGTGGACGCTCACTAACGATACGTCGTATGAGGTCTGATCTCATTTCGCTCGAGGTCACGTTAAGCCCCGCCCAGTTAGTTACACTAGTTACACTCCCCCTGTCCACACACAACATTTTCCGTGATTAGGCGTGATTCTTTATAGAGTTTCAGTTCGAAACGATGCCCAAACCTGCGTTTCGTTAGACTAGTTTCGTTATACGACGTATCGTTAGTGAGCGTCCACACCTACAATTTTCATCGTAAAACTATCGCGAAACGGTATCACTATCGCGAAACTCTATAAAGAATCACGCCTAATCACGGAAAATGTTGTGTGTGGACAGGGGGATAATCATTTGTCGTCCTTCTTAATATTTCGATTTGTAGTCACATTTTAGGCTTTTTCAAAGCTAGCCGCCAGAGAATGCTAGGTTGTTGTAGAAATGCTGTCACTTGTCCGTAATCAATTCTGACATTGGTTTAAAAATTCATCTTTAATTTTTCATATTTTATAAAGTCACGGATTGTATTTTTTTGTTGATGTTTTTTTCCTACTTTAATGCTATAGTGTTGTATTCCTCCAATATGCAGGGATATTCATGAAAGGCATGACATTTGTCTTGAAGGCTTTCAACGATAATCTCCTTATATCCCATACAAACAGTGAAATTAAAAAGATGAGTATCATTGTAATCTAAACTGTATTCTAATATGTATCTATTTCCCTCTACCCTTTGGCTTCGTTCATAGCGGGTAAGTATCCATCGAAAGTTGATTATAACTTCTATTTAATCATTTGTCGTCCTTCCCCTCTACCCTTTCTTACGTGATAAAGTAATTATTAAAATATCAACCATTAAAGATAGTTTAGAGGCGATGAAACTGATGTTGTAAAATATTTTGTTGATTTAACATGCACCACTTTTAGTATGTACGCTTTTTGTGTCCTCTTCAATAAACAAGATAGGAGGGGACACTTTGATTGTTTTTCTTCATGTTTTTTTCTCAACAATTTCAAACTGATTATAAAATGAATCAAGATGATAAACAATTTAATACATCTTCAACGTTAAATAATTACATTGTGATACTAACATAATATAATAATGAAGACAGATTGGCACATTAGCCAAGCTTGAAGTAGGGTAATCCTATATTGAACTTATTGTTTCAGAAGAAAAAAAACATGATGTTGGGGATGACAGTGAAAAAAAGATGTACGATCAGAAGATAGGAGGAAATGTTATATAGAGCGATACAAAGTGATTCATGTAGCTGTGCTGAATAGATAAAAAGAACTAGGTAGAAGGTAGCCTATCCGATATGCGTCGGGCTTTACAAGTATACTAATTGCGTTTATTTGGAGAGTGACATCGGCGCGGGCGTCAGCCCGAGCGCCTATCATCACTGGTAAATGCGAAAAGTTTTATTTTCTTTTATGTACCATGTTTCGTTCGTAGAAAATCTACGAACCCCCTGTGTAGCTCTTTCATGAATATTTATGTAGCATGGACCAAAATAGGCCAATGAGCGATGAGGAACCTGGAGATGATATTTGATTGGTTGAATCAAAGTGATCGATCACCAAATAAGGTTAGTCTTATGAATCATGCATGAGAATACGCTCGTCACACATACGATACACATTATATGAATAATGATGAGTTGACCAGTGATGATAGGCGCTCGGGCTGACGCCCGCGCCGATGTCAGTCTCCATAACGCGATCAGTATATTTGCCATAATTATATAAAGCCCGACGCATATCGGATAGGCTAGGTAGAAGGTAGAAAAGAGGGGTGGAAGTACAGATTTAGAGAGATGGAGGAGGGGATCAAAAGAGAGGGAAAGATTGAGAAACAGAGATTGAAACAGAGTGAGAGAGAGAGAGGATGGGGGGGGGGGGGTGTTACACCCATAAATGTAATAACGCCCACAAATGAAATAACACTTTACCCACAAATGTAATAACACCCACAAATGTAATAACACTTTACCCACAAATGTAATAACCACTTTACCCACAAATGGAATAATTTTGAATCAACCACAAATGGGGATGTTACACCCACAAATGTAATAACGCCCACAAATGTAATAACGCCCACAAATGTAATAACACTTTACCCACAAATGTAATAACACCCACAAATGTAATAACACTTTACCCACAAATGTAATAATTTCACCTACAAATGTAATAACTACTTTACCCACAAATGTAATGATTTCGAATCACCCACAAATGTAATAATGACTTTACCCACAAATGTAATAAATTTGAAGTGATATTTTGTCGAATTCGTTCAAAACTAAAACCCTGTAATAAAGCATGGGTATAGCGCGCAGTCTTTACTCCAGACCCGGTTATTTCAAAAAAATTAAAAACCTTCAAACTAAGACCTCACCATCTCATTCCTGTGGAATAACATGGGTATAGAGCGTAGTCTTTCCTCCAGACCCGGTTATTTCAAAAGAAATAGAAATTTAAACAAATCGTCGAAACTATATGTGGAGAAATATGTATTAAGGGGCTATTCATACTTTTCTAAAGAAAATGGAAAAAAATACAACATTTTGCTCGAAATTGCAAATTATCCTCAAACCTGTTAAATGTGATATCATCTTGATGACAATTTAACATCCTGCTATGTGACATCTAACATATGGTAAAATGAGGTTCCATTAAAAAGTAATCTCCAAAACCATTCAACAGTAGTTATATATGGCGGCCATTTTATTTCAGCAGCATCATTTCAATGTATCAATTGTGCAGGGAGGTGCCATGAATACGTTGATACCCACCTACCTTTTACAACATTCCATGTCTCAAAAAACAACTCTGCCCCTAATTATACATAGTATTTCATGCCTATGAGAGTTTTTCGGTCAATGGTCTTTATGTAATAATTTACCGCCCATATTAATTTAACCGTCGAAGAAATTGCGCTTTCCACATGTTTAAAATCCAAGTCTCAATATCATTGACTTTACCTTATCCAGTAGCGTTCCATTGGTTCATATACAAATAAATCTGAGCTCATTTTAGCCAGTGGCGTAGTCAGCTAGAAATTATTTATCAAGGGAGCAACCCCCCCCCCCCCCCACCCGACGAAGAAGCAGCATGAACCTTGGCTGCCGGAGATAGCCGGGCATGGGTATTTTTCTTTTATACACACAAACCCAGGGATTTAGACGATTGTTTCTAATGAAACTGTTCGTAAACATTCTAAACTCTGTTTTAATCCATTATGTGAGTGTGTGTTTGTGTTTGAGAGAGCACAAACGAGCGAAAGAAAGAACATAAAACAGGGAAGGAACATTGAAGTTCAAGGAAACTTATGTGTTGAAAGAGGTTTTACTTTTCATTCTTTGTTTACTTAGGCCCTAAAAATGGGGTAGATAAAAATAACTTACAAATATATATTTGTTTGTCTTCAAAAGTTTCACCCGGTGTCCAAGACACGTTTAATTGTTTTCAGCGTATTATCTAACATTCTACAAATAAGTATGTAAGAACAGCGGAAAGTGATATGATGATATTTGAGCATATGCCTCAAGTGTTAATATGTACTACACCTTTTTACTATTGACTTTTTTCAAATAACCATGGGCCCATCTCATAAAGAGTAACTATCGATTCAAATCGATCACAAGTCTGCGGTTGATTTGTTTGGAGGACTTACGAGACAAAGTCCAGGTCAACCACTGTGTCTATTTCAGGGGGCTTTGCTTAGAAGACGTAGTGTATCTTCTAAATACAATAACTCATTCACACGAACAAGACCGACACCAGACCGATAACAGCCCCTCCCCCCTCCCCCAACCGGCCCAAAATTGGTCAGTTTTGAGTTGATGTGGAGCCCGTTTCGGCAATTTGATAAAGGTGATACAGAGTGATACAGTCATGTCAAAACCAAAACTGTTTTTTTTTTATCATGAAGGTTCTCCTTGCTTTTTTCATGTTTTGTTAGAGTTTAGAAAGTTTTTTCTTTCTGTGGCAGGCCAAATTTTTGTTTTTATCCTGCATATATGTTGTGTTATTCTTGATCTTTATCATTAAATATTATACTAATAAAGTCGAGGGAAACTACGACTACCTGCCATTTCTTAAACATAACTCGGGGAGCAATCGGGATGATAATTCCTACGGTGGCCTTTCGGCACCCCCCGAGATCCTGGCTCGGGGGCCGAGAGCACAGCAAGCGTATGCCGAAGCAGCTAAAGCTGGCAAGAAGAAAGTATTCCGAACTCGCCTGATGCTTGTGGGACAAGAACGTGTTGGAAAGACAAGTCTAAAGAAAACTCTTACAAGACAAGGGTAATCTCTTTTTTTTATCCCTTTATTTGTTTACATTCTGTTCTGTCTGTCTCTCTGTGTCTCTGTCTCTATTATTCCTTTTTTTTTTTTTATCAGTTCTGTCTTTGTATTATTTATTTTTTCCATTCAGTTGAGAAGAAAAAAATACAACTTTAATTCCAGTCATGTTGGCACTTTTTTTTTGGATGCACGAACTTTTTTTCTCAACGTAATAAGGGGTCAGGGAGCAAGATGACTTTGATCAGGGTTGTTCTGTTGTTTCGATAATGAAATAATTCCCTTTGTCATTACTTGTCCTTTTTTAATCGCATTTATCTCTTATTTCTCTTTTGTTGGTAATAGAATCATTTCTAATCAGTGAACATGTACATGTGTTGTACACTGTCATAGTAGTCGTTTGTAATAACATGTGTGAATGTGCAAAAAAATAAACACTGCAAATTATGTATACAATAATGTGATAAATGTGATTTGTACACCATGTCTAAAATGTTTATAATCGTGCTGCAATGTCTATATTCATATTACTTGCTGATCACTTGAGGAAGAAGTAAGATGACACATCAAAACATTGTGCAAAATAATTAACTACTGGAATCTAAATGTAAAACTTTTCCGGATTCATTTTATAATTGAAAGGTATTGAAATTATTAAACATCGTTGACACAGGTATCAATATTTTGTTCTAACTGGACATAAATGAGAAAATAAAGAATAACAACTTGAAAACATTTCAAACTTTGAAATATTTCTAATCTTTTATTCCAACACTCGGACTTGACAATGAATATTTATGTTAGATGTTAATGGAGGACATCACTTTATATTGTAAAGACGTCATAATGTTTTCTTTTTCTTTTCTGATTTGAAGGAAATAAATAGTTTAAAAAGTATACAACGTAATAATATTTTTAATAATGATGTACCCGTGCCTCCTTTGAGGGGCTATCCAATCTTTATAGCAAGTTGCTTTGAAGGAAAGCAGAAAAAAAGACAAACCTATTGGTGAAAGTTTGAATCAAACCGGTAAACATTGAGAGAGGTATGACGTTTCGAAAGTCGTAATGTCGTGTGGTGTTGATTACGGCAACTACTCTATTATGGTACAAAAAAAGTGATATAATTTGCCAATATGAAATTCGATTCAATTATGGCCCGGTCCCACTGGCCGATGGACACAAAACGTATGCATGAAGGACACAGCGGACGAGCAAAATTTCGGGAGTGGCTCCATCCGTTTTCATCCGCTCCAGAAATGGACAAAATTGGCAAAAATTTGCGAAAACAGAACGGAAAATAACGGACTTGGGTAGTATGTAGCGGGGATGTTAAACGGATGTTCATCGGAAGCCTAGCGGATGAAAGCGGATGGAAGTTGATGACAGCTTTGAATACTTTATATACGAGATGCATACGCTTACATCCTTTCTATTTCCGTGCTACTAACGATGTATAGACGTTCCATGTACCTTAACTTTCCGCCCTCTTTCCGTTTTCGGCTGCAGCGGATGTGAGTTGCGAGGATGCCCAGAGGATGCAGAGAGGGTACAGCGGACGTTTAACGGATGTTAACGGACATAGAACGTTTGTTACTCGTATTTGTCGCGGATTTACATCGTAATGGCCCGGTCCCACTGGCCGATGGACACAACACGTATGCATAAAGGACACAGCGGACGAGCAACATTTCGCGGGCGGCTCCATCCGTTTTCATCCGCTCCAGAAATGGACAAAATTTGCGAAAATTTGCGAAAACAGAACGGAAAATAACGGACGTGGGTAGTATGTAGCGGGGATGTTAAACGGATGTTCATCGGAAGCCTAGCGAATGAAAGCGGATGGAAGTGGATGACAGCTTTGAAAATGTTATATACGAGATGCATACGCTTTTACATCCTTTCTATTTCCGTGCTACTAACGATGTATAGACGTTCCGTGTACCTTACCTTTCCTCCCTCTTTCCGTTTTCAGCTGCAGCGGATGTGAGTTGCGAGGATGCCCAGAGGATGCAAAGAGGATACAGCGGACGTTTAACGGATGATAACGGACATAGAACGTTTGTTGCTCGTATTTGTCGCGGATTTACATCGTACACGGCGGAAGTTCATCCGGTCTAAAGGTTTTGTGCAGCTCAAAACTTTTTGCGCGGATGAAATCACAGTGGACGGATGCTCGATGGATAGAGCGTATGAAACACGTATGCAATGAGTACACAACGGATGCATAGCGTTTTCCAACGGATGGCAAGATTTTGTTACGCTTTACATCCTCTTTGCATCCGTAAGTGCAGTGGGACCGGGCCTTAACGGCGGAAGTTCATCCGTTTTAAAAGTTTTGTGCAGCTCAAAACTTTTTGCGCGGATGAAATCACAATGGATGGATGCTCGATGGATAGAGCGTATGAAACACGTATGCAATGAGTACACAACGGATGCATAGCGTTTTCCAACGGATGGCAAGATTTTTTTACGTTTTACATCCTCTTTGCATCCGTAAGTGCAGTGGGACCGGGCCTTTAAATAATGGTTTATTAGACATTTTTCACGACAATAAGCCGTGTGTACACACAACAACTTGAATATGTGAGGTACTGTAAACAGTAATAAACATTGGTGAAATCTGTTTTAATATAGATGATAATTGTTCCTGGATACAGACGAAATACATTATCAAAGTTACAGATATAAAGGTGCACATTATTATAAGCAGTATCAAGAAAATAAAGCACACACTTGAACAAGATAAGAATAGTATAGATGTACATATACACTGGATATGATCTCTCTCCCTCCTTTTTTTAATTTGAAGTACATACCATGGGACAAGGTGCTTCATTGTCAGAACTAATATTTATCATATTTGTACGTGGCGATATATGGGAGAGCTCTTCATCTCAAATTACGTCACAAATTATTTCACAATATGAATTCACTAATTCACCAATCGGAGATTCGCATAGATTAAATGATTTTAACCTCGACAAATTTATAATTCAACATTTTCTTTTGGGATTTGTTCATTGTACTCGGATTTGTCTGACTTTACCCAATTCAGCTTGTTGAACGTTTTGAATACCTTGCGTATAGCTTTTACTTCTGTGAATCGGAATAAAAACGTGTATATATCATGTTCAATAATATTAATGTTATTATTATTATTATTGTCATTATTCTAATTGTATTATTGGTTCAGATTTGATAAAAATGAGGCAATAACGGACGGTGTAGAAACAACAGACGCTTGTGAAATTAGCATCGAGGTTGTAAAGACTTGCGAGAAAATGTGGTCAATTCACAAGAAAGGACATGAGAATGAAGATAACAAAGGTAAGTAAAATTTGAACAAAGATTTTACCTTTACTATAAGAAACAACAATAAATTATATGCATAATTATATCTTTCTTTCTGATATCATAAATTGTTCAAACTGTTGGTGACAAATGAGGATAGAAAACACTTTTGAATCAAAACTTAAAACGTATCTTTTCATTTTAATGTCTTAATGTTACTTTTCGTAAGCACATGTAAACTTTGGTTTATAAATGTCGTTTATGTTTGTCGTTCTTCTTATATGGCATTGTTATTGTTAGTATTAGCATCATTATTATTATTACTATCATTATTATTAATTTTTTGTGGTTGTTATTACAGTTATCAATATTTTAATATTTATTATCATCATTATTGTTATCATTAATACTGTCTGAAACATTTCCTGACATAGCAATTACTAAGTTATAATTCTTGCATTGGTTTTAAGGATAAAAGAATTGAATTGAATAATGCGACATCTTAAGAACCACTTGAGAATTGAGGCTCAAACTTAGCGATAATGTGTATCACCGTAGGAAGACGATAACAGTAGATTTTTGTGTAACTAGTTCAGAGGTCAAAGGTCACAGAGGTCAACTTATGTAATTTCGGCTATCAGCCTTGTTATTGCAACATTTCTAGAACCACTAGAGATATTATAATAGGCTCAAACTTGGGAATAATATGTATTACCATAGGAAGACAATCTCATCGGATTTCGGGTAAAAAAAAAAGGAAAGGTGAAAGGTCACAGAGGTCAATTTTTGAAATTACAGATTTTAGCCTTGCTATTGCGATATCTCAAGAACCACAAGAGATAGGCATTTTTTACATTGTGATATGTCACACATAATTCCATCCATTTTGTATACTTAATTTAGGGTGGATGCATATTGGAGACGCAGTCGCATTTGTCTTGTTATTCTTATTATGGATAGCATGATCTTAGAATTCACCGAAACATATCCTTTTCAGCCTTGAGTTTTGAAGACAATTATAATCTACATCACCATGCAAGCCGACACTTACAAGCAACATCTAATTATATTTCAGTCAAGATGTATATATTACTAAAATTGAAGGAGTTGCATCACATCACATCAAATTTCGAACTATCTGGTAATTTGTAACTTCCTATAATGACAGAATTGCACATAAAATCGTTCATTAAAATCGTATAATTTAAATTATTCTAAAGTTAATCAATCTAATATTACAATTTAATACATGATACAATAGTAGAATATGATATAAGATCATTTACTTTCACAGAGGATGAATACAAAAAAGCCCTTGCGGATGACATAGCAAAGAGGCTGACCGTAAACCCACAACAGGTAATCATCTCCATCCAGGTATTTTTTTCTTCTTCTGATTTGAGGTAAATCCGTTAGAGAGAATTAGGTGTCTATCGTACTTGTTAGTCCGAATAACAATTCTATACAAGTCAATGTAGTAGTGAGTTATGATTATGATGGAGAAGTGGATTTAGCCAGAATAAAAATATTATATTAATGATGATCATCCAAAGAAAAAAATGATTTCCACAATTGTGTTAAATAAATATGATATCAATATACCTGAGTAGTATGTAAAGAACGATAATTATATGGGCTGTCCTAGATTACAATGCACAATAGTATATCGAGGTTGCTATTTCCTTTGCATTTCATTCATGATGATATATTTTGATTATTTGTATTAGTACATTGCAGTATTCGCATACTCTAGCACATGTATTAGCTGTTTGTTTGCATCTTGTGTGTCAAGTAGTTCAGTCAATCATACAATTAAACAATAAATTGCTCTCGACCAGTCTAGAATGACAATGTAAACCAATAAATAATGGGATTATCTCATTAATTACTTAAACAAATAAATCCTACTTGCTATTTGTGATGCGGCTAGTGCAAGCTCCATGATTACACTCTTGACTGATTTATTTTGTGTAAAGGATGAAGGACGTTTTGAACCACACAGCAGAGGTCTAAATCCTGAAGAAGCAGGTTTGTGTATATGTTTTTGGTTAGCATTGATTTGTTTGTGTTGTGTGTTTGTTTTCTTAACTCTAGAGATCAATTCTTATATTATCGTCCATAATATATAAAGTATTAGTATGATATAAAAATTGATGACAAATAAGTATTTACTCCTGTTTAAGTGTTATCACATAATATGTTTTCATAATTCAGTGCGCAATTTAAACTGCTACCAATTTTGACCTAATAAGAAATAAGCTACATGAAATATTATCATAGCAATAATGATAATAATTATAATAGTCACATTTGTAGGCCGATATATGGTAGAACGACAGTGCACATGTTCCACTCCCTGAGGAGTATCGGTACCAAGCAGACCTGCTTCCTGCAGAAATTTTATCTTTGAGGTAACCCCAATCTTATTCAGATGCTTAGGAAGATTGCTTTCTCAGTAATCCTAGCATCACCAGGCGCAGCTAAATCTACACCGATGGCCCAACCACCACCATTTCTTGGTATTTCACAGCTTACCAGTTCTCCTCCTAGGTCTTGATTTCAATCTGTTCCTTCTCTTTCTCAGTAATCTTAGCATCACCACGCGCAGCTTTATCAATTACGATGCATTGACTCTTCTGTCCACCACTAGGATATATTGATCTGTCTAGATGTTAAAACCCCAGAGCAATTTTTTTCAGCATGTCTTTACCATCTTCCCTGGCTCATTATCATACCACTTGTCTGTAGCTTCAAGTCAATTGTTGACAATGATCCAGTGTATAAATCTGGATGCATTGTTGTGTCGTTGGAGGTCCTCAACCCGCGCCATTTTACTGCATTTACTGTTCAGTTGACCTGCTGTCCCTTCCTTTGTTCCACATATTCTTCAGAGCAGCACACATATTTTTCTTAACCTTCGCCTTGAATGCATTTGTCCTCAGTGCTTGATCTTGAGCCGCAGTGATAATACCTTCTGTCTCTTTCTGAACGCAGGGCCCTCATGGAGAACAGTATGAATACTGATTAGGCTTCCCTGGGTAAACAAAATATAATATTATTATTATTATTATTCCTTCTGGTATCCCTTCTTCGTCCAGTCCCAGGACCTGTCATACTGTCATCAACTGACCATGTAGTGGCTTAGCCTTCCAATTCTTAAGACATCCTTCATACGTCCATGTAATAGGTGTCCTATTCCAGTACACCAATATATTTGCAGCCATCTTCTTCCAATGATTTCATGAGGCAATGCGTCCATGAGGCAAGGTGATTCCATCATTCTTCTCAACCCTCACTCTCTTTACTATGAGAATAGCACACTTCTTGAGTCCAAACTCCATTCCAATGTCATCACTGAACACATGGATTATGTTCACTAGTGAGTCCACCTCCCCTTCATTCTTCCCGTCGAGCTTTATGTCAACCATGGACATCAAGTGAATGAGAGTCTCAGACTCCTTGCCTGAGGGATATTGTCTTTCCGATCTTCATAAGACTATATTGACAAAGGTATCAAGCAGATGAAAAATAGCTTCATTCAACAGTTTCCACATAAGTGGAAGGCATGCTATGGGCCTGAAGTTATCCTTAAGATTCATCCACTAAGGTACACTACCGGTTTATTTTTTCAGTTCGGATATAGTCTTTAATGATTATGATAAAAATAGTCACATTCGAACTTTTGAAGGCCATTTTTAGGTGGTAGCATGATAATGCACATGCTCAATTGACCAGGCGCCATTTTATGCTAGGAGTCCACTGGGACAGCGCCAGTTGGTGCCAGTTTGCGCTAATGCAATTTACTGTGGCGCCTAGTGGCGCCAAAAATGTGCCTTGTGGCGTGTAGTGGCTCAAACTGCCTCACAACTGGCTCGTGGTGGCCCGTAAAGGCACCAAATGTGAATGTGGCGCCACTTGCATCGAGCAATCAGCGCCAAGTGTCCGGCAAGTGGCACCAAATGGCGCGAACATATCGCCCTTTGGCGCAAACAATCCGCCTGTTGGAATCCACTGGAATGTAATGGCGCGCGCCAAGTTGCGCCAATGAAATTTGGCGCCACTAGGCAGTGGCCACCTCAGCATCTCTCATCATCTTCTGATGGAGCAGCATCATCACTCCAACATTGTCAAAAGCCTCAGACATATCAAAATTGTAAATATTTAGTAGAGATGTTGTTCATACAGCAGCTGAGGAGAGTCTGAACCAGGTAGCCGATGGCCGGTATTTATATAGTCGGCAAGTAGCGCCAAGCGGCGGCAAGTTCAAACCAATTTGGCGACCTTTGGCACAAACTAATCACCAAGTGGCGCAAAGTAACCGTCTATTGGCGCGAATGGCGCCAACAGGGTGAATTTTGGAATCAAATGGCCGTGTAATGGCGCGAACTGGCTCAAACTGGCGCAACATTTTGGAGCAAGCCGGGTGGCATTTGGCGCACGCCATATGGCACCCAGTTTATTCCACTTGGCGACACATGCCGAGCGGACATTAATTCGGCGCCACAGCGAGCCACTACGCGCCAATCACATAATCTTTGGCGCGACCTGGCACCAACTGGCGCTGGCCCAGTGGACTCCTAGCATTACAAACGCACACATGCCAATCCAACCACTCTAACGTTCGCATCCTTCTTGGTACCCTTTTAACACCTGGGAGGAGTGGCAGATGTAGATTAATTATGAATATATATGTCCTACAAAAACATATATGTATTTCTTCTTTCTTACAGACAAATCTGTCTTCGATAGTGTGAGGGCGCCCAAGGCTAAAGTGAAGGGTAACAATATGCCGAATCGAATAGCAAATCTGGTGCGGAAAATGCTTAAGAAGAAGGTTCACATAAAGGTAAACTTCCTGTTTTTAACCTTGTATCTTTATGTGGTTTAGTCTGTCATGCAATGACACAATGAATTATTCTAGACCAGTCCAGAATGACAGTGTAAATGCAAGACAGGTTGAGAGTAACCGTCTCATCAACCACTTATTTTAGGATATAAGAATTTGTGTGTATTGCAAGGTTCTGGAATCATCAAAATGAAAAGAAATTTGGCCAAGTCTTGGTAAAGTTACAAACACTGTACACAGAGAGATGTATATGGGACTACACGAACATGTGGCGTAAAAATCATACCCTGGATTGTTACGATGTTACACGACATGTTTAAAATGGGAAGGCGTTTGAAGAGCCATGCTTTTCAGGGAACATGTTTTATCTTATGTTCTTCCACACTTGCATAATAACAATGATAACGCTCACAAATTATTTTTCACCTCTTCCCAGAATTTAACCTTCTCTTTAAAAACAAAAGTAGTTCTAGTTGTTAATTGCAATGCGGTTAGTGCATGCTGCTCGATGACAATCTAAATTCTGGTTTATTTTGTGTACAGGATCAAGACAGTTTAGAATCACGCAGTGATACTCCTCTCAGCAGCGGCCTGAATCCTGTAAAAGCAGGTTTGTTTGTTTGTGTTTTTTTCGGGGGGGGGGGTTTGTAGTTGGCATGTGTTCTTTGTTCGTTTGCTTTTTACTATTCGATCAATCCTTAATTCATCGTCCATAAAATATAAAGAATCAACAAAAATTACCAACAAGTAAGTATTTTCTTGTTAAAACTCCCTTTAAAATGTTCTCACAGAAAACAAATGTATAACCCACTGATCAAATTACACTGCAATCGATTCTGACTAGTTAAATGTCAGTTATATGTAATATTCTCAAAATATGTAATACCCTATCCAATGAAAATACGACTTAATATAAAGGGAAACCTGAATGAATGTAGAACACAGAAATAAAAAAAAATAAAAAAAAAACCTTTACCCTTTCATTATGGCACAACAGCAAATTAAATCCTTATTTTCCGTACCCCTCCAAATTACGGGTCAACAGGGGGTTAGATTTCCCGAGGTTACATTGACGACATAACATGTGGACCCCATCGGTTTACCTTTATAGCTGAGGTGATGGGCCGTGCTTGAGTAATGCAAAGTCATTGTGAATATGCAGACTCCACGTAATATATGATTTGTTTTCCAAAGGTTTTTATTCATTCCTCTCATAAAGAAAATTGTACATAATGTTTAACATTGTATACAAAACAACAAAATATTCTTTTCATACGTCTAAATAAATTTGGAAGTGAACTTTTACATTTCCATACAAGGTTAAAAATAAAGTTACACATTTACAGATGAAACAAAATTTACATAACCAAAATTATATTTTCATATTTTAAACAAATCGCAAATATAGTTTGTACTATTTCCTCAATATTTTGTTTATCCTCTTAAATTTCCTTCAGAGAGAAAGAAAACAAAAGGGTTATGATAACGAAAAATTTAAAAAAAAA